TGATTAAAACACAAACAAAACAATAAAAAAAATAAAAAAAAAAGTTTTTAACTGTTACTTTCTTTTCATACTTTATACCAGGGATGTGGAACCTTCGGGCCTCCAGATGTTGTGAACTAGATGGCTATAAGGGTATAATGGGAGATGTAAGAAAAGAAGGGGAGTGGTCAAGGATAGGGGTTTAGTGTAACACCCTCATCCCGTACCTAACCCACAAAAAAAGGTCACCTAGACTGGAAAAGTAGGGGATAACCCTAGGGAATACAGTAAATAGTAGCGAACCAAAGGTGTCACTTGATTAGAAAGTGACCGCAAGGTTAAATTTCCAATAAGATCTTAAAGGAGAAAATAATAAATAACAAAATAACTTTATTAGCAACTCTAAAAAGTATTAGGACAAATTAAACAGTGTAGCCTGATATGAGGGGGAACAGCCCTGAGTGAGATGCTCAATAATAGATAGTTAATAATGAAGCATACCATACTAGTTCCAAACGGGTATGGATTGGCAGTACGAGAACTAACTGAAGAGATAGCAATATCCCACTTTATGTGTTTAAGCCCTCATGGAAGTATATACAGCACTGGTTACGACAGAGCCTGGTGTGATCTTCCAAAAACTAAAACATAAAAGGAATAGTGAGAGATATGCTAAATGGTGAGAACAAAGCACACAGGAAAAAATATATAAAAAGAAGGGTATATACAGAGAGATGAGTAATAGGGATATAACCAATTAAATCCACCTCTCTAGGGTTACCAGAGGTCTGTGGTAAGGGTATCCCTAGTCTCTAAACCTTCAGTCTCATGTAAACACCTTCATGGATATTCTATGCTTTAATTCAGTTTGGGGGGGAAAAAAATAAATATTTTTTTTTTTTTTTTAATTCCTTAAATTCTCAAATAGCTGTCTAAATACCAAGTGATATGCTCAATAGCTAATGATTGGTAATCAAGCATAATGGGAGATGTAGTCCAAAATATCTGGTGGGCCAAAGTTTCTCCATCCCTACTTCACACGGTCTGTATATTAGCCTGCTGTAGTAGTTATTCCGGAAGTAACCGTGCCCCATTTCCTAGTAATGGGGCAAACCTTTTTTTGCCCACTGACCCAGGACCCTGTTGGCTAGTGAAGATAACCGGTTTCTGCCGATCTGCAGAAGCTGGATGTTGAATCTGCCGCTCATCCATTGACTGAGAGTGTCAGCTGATTGATCTCAGCTACTGAATTAGTGTCGAAATTTGCACAGAAAATTTACATTAGCCAATCCGGAACTCATGATGATCCATGGTGCTGTGGTGTTGCGCATCAAGGGAGTTTAACTCAGTATGTATACGTATAGGCACCCTGACCACTTCAAATCACTGAAATGGTCATGGTGTTTGGCATATATAGTACATATACAAGGATATGTAATATTATCAAATGCGTATGTATCACATAGCAAATCTGCAAGTACCACCTCATAAGTGTTTTTTTGTTTGTTTATTTTTATTTTAATTTTCAGGCTATGTTCAAGGTATGAGCGATTTACTCTCCCCTGTTTTGTACGTTATGGAAAATGAAGTAGATGCTTTTTGGTGCTTTGTATCGTTTATGGATCAAATGGTAAGCTCTATTGTAAGATAAAATAAGGTATTAGCAGTAGAAAGAGGGAAGTGCTCATGCAATTGTACAGAACACTGGTGAAACCTCACTTGGAGTATTTTACGCAGTACTGGAGACCGTATCTTCAGAAGGATATTGATACTTTAGAGAGAGTTCAGAGAAGGGCTCCTAAACTGGTTCATGGATTGCAGGATAAAACTTACAAGGAAAGGTTAAAGGACCTTAACATGTATAGCTTGGAGGAAAGACGAGACAGTGGGGGGATATGATAGAAACATTTAAATACATAAAGGGAATCAACACAGTAAAGGAGGAGACTATATTTAAAAGAAGAGGACATAGTCTTATATTAGAGGGGCAAAGGTTTAAAAATATCAGGAAGTATTACTTTACTGAGAGGGTAGTGGATGCATGGAATAGCCTTCCAGCTGAAGTGGTAGAGGTAACACAGTAAAGGAGTTTAAGCATGCGTGGGATAGGCATAAGGCTATCCTAACTATAAGATAAGGCCAGGGAGTAATGAAAGTATTTAGAAAATTTGGCAGATTAGATGGGCCGGATGGTTCTTATCTGCCGTCACATTCTATGTTTTCAGTACTTTTAAGTTGTCAGGCTTTTATAAGATTTATGTGTGCCATTAAAAAGGGGATATTTTCCCAAGTCTATTTTTAAGCTCCGCACAGTATCCCAAATTCTGTTCAAATGTGGAGTATAATTATTTAATAGGAAATATAAAAAAGGACACATAAAGGCTGCTGTGCAGCTATACATATCCTTGAATGTTTCACACATAATATCCTATTTTTCCTTATTCACCTGGCTTCCTGTTTTTAGGTAAGAATATGTGAATAGTATTTATTGTATCCTCCTATATCATGGAAAAAGAATGAGTAGCAATCCCTATATGCTCTAGAAAGTGTACAAAATTAAATGTATCAAAAGGTTAGTTGCAATTTTAAAGGAATTCTAATCCAAACAAGCATTTATTTGAAAAAGCAAAAATCAGCTCTACTGTGACAGGAAAAATATATTTGATTTGTGTGTTTCCTGTTTCTCAGCATAAGAATTTTGAGGAGCAGATGCAGGGGATGAAGACACAGCTAGTTCAGCTGAGTACCTTGCTAAGCTTATTGGATAGTGGCTTCTGTAGTTACCTTGGTATGTATTATTTGTGAAAAACTTTACACTAGAGTGACATTAATTCTAGAAATCCACAAATCAACACGAATGAAATTATGGTGCAAGGAAATCCAAGGGACCATCTTAGTTGAAGAGTTTAACCGTTACCAAGTCATTTATCCCAAAGGCTGCAAGCCGGCACCCGTTTGCTCCGCCTCTGCATTTCCCTTCAGTGTCCAAGGCTTTAATCAGGAAGTCTCTGCCTGAGCGCCGCTGATAGGTTGAGTGCATCAGCTAAGGCTCTCAGCCTATAACTACTTCTCCATTTAGGAACGTGAGTGAAAAAGGTACATATCCTTTTCACTCACTTTTCTCTATGGTGAGATACTGATAGACTGGAAGCATTATCTGAGAGGAACTGCAGGGACAGATCAATTGGGGCCCTGCTTACAGACTTTGGGTTCTGCATCATAACAACTTGAGGTGATGTTATACTGTCACCAGTGTCCCTTTTAATGTTTTTTAAATTGTCGATTTAAAAAAAAAAATGTTCTCTTCACAGGAATTGTAAATGTACCTTTTCAAGAGGGTTTTTATTATTCTGTTTATTTATACAATATGAAGTTTAACAAATATGTATTTGTAAAGGGTGAAAAATAAAATTAAATGTTTAACCCCTTAAGGACCAAACTTCTGGAATAAAAGGGAATCATGACATGTCACACGTTGTGTGTCCTTAAGGGGTTAAATTACCTTTTTATCCTGCGACTGGGCGCCTCCATCTTATCTACCTGTCATTCGTTATAAACTCTGCCCTTTGCAGGTATTATACAGAAAACCGAGATGAAACTAAATGAAACAATTGGGGGTATTTCTGATAAGTTACAGTTAGACCTTGATTCATGGAACTGTTGCATTGTATAGGCAGTTGGAGGTTTAATGTCACATTGAGTTAACCCCCTCCAAGAATTAAGACTGTAAAACAGTGTTTGCTTTTCATTTAGAATCTCAGGATTCTGGTTACCTGTACTTCTGCTTCCGATGGCTTCTAATTAGGTTCAAAAGGGAATTCAGCTTTCCGGATATTCTTCGTGTTTGGGAGGTAAGATGCTTTTAAGATTGTCTTATTCAGCATTTTATATACTAGCTTAGCTTCAACGTAAATGTGTAATTGATTTTGGAATGTTTTTGTTTAAGTGTATTTACCGGCTATTTTTAGGTCAATGACGGCTGCAATAGTGGCAAGTTGTCCCTCTGGAGCAACTCTTTCTCTTAACAATCTTCCATCAAATGGAGATGTATTTTTCACCTTATCACTCTAGCAGTTAGGTGTGTGTTACTGACTTACAAACATTGGAAGAGGTTTCTTTAGAATCCATAGAAGGGATACTCCATTGCCCTATAAATCACTATTTAGTGGAAATACCCCCATTGAAAACATACTTGCATTTAATTAGCATTTTTTTTTTCTTTGGGGGTATATCTTAAAACAATGTAATACAAAATAATATACTGGCGCTAAAAATAGTAATACAATATAGAAACAGCTGCTGTAACACCTAGATGTAATCTTTCTTACTTACACCAACTAGAATACAAAGTACAAAATACAAGGAAAGCTACATACATATATTAAACTCGGCTGAGTTTACCCAGAGAGCATTCATCCCAATAAGGGGGCCAAAAAAGCCTACGAAATATACCTATAAAATAAGAGGAAAAACTCCAGTAGTGTAACACTGTATAAAACAAACTAATATATAAAAGATAAAGCTTTCCACTCACATCCTCCTGAGCTTAACGCCAAGCTCAGGGATAAGCACTTGTAGGTCCGTGCAGGCGACCTTCCCCTTCTTCTTATCGAATAATCTTGTGTACTCGCCTCTAAGATTTAAGTAACACAAATATGGTGCAGTATGTATATTCAGAATTCCTCAGTGATTTAATACGTATTATACTCACAAAGGTGGAGCCTCTATATCGGCTCTGTCTCAGCGCGTTATGTAAACCGGAGATGTACTCCTTTAAGCAGGAACCAAATAGCCCACAATCTAAATACTGTAAACCTTATTATATAAAACAAAATATCCCCCTTCAAGGGTTAACAAGCTATAAATAAATTAAAAATTATTAAATTACAATGGGCAAAGATAAATGTCTTAGAATTATTCCCAGAACGCGTTTCATCGTGTCTCCTATGGCTTCCTCAGCTGGGTCCAATATTAAATTACAATGGGCAAAGATAAATGTCTTAGAATTATTCCCAGAACGCGTTTCACCGTGTCTCCTACGGCTTCCTCAGCTGGGAATATTGAACCCAGCTGAGGAAGCCGTAGGAGACACAGTGAAACGCGTTCTGGGAATAATTCTAAGACATTTATCTTTGCCCATTGTAATTTAATAATTTTTAATTTATTTATAGCTTGTTAACCCTTGAAGGGGGATATTTTGTTTAATATAATAAAGTTTACAGTATTTAGATTGTGGGCTGTTTGGTTCCTGCTTAAAGGAGTACATCTCCGGTTTACATAACGCGCTGAGACAGAGCCGATATAGAGGCTCCACCTTTGTGAGTATAATACGTATTAAATCACTGAGGAATTATGAATATACATACTGCACCATATTTGTGTTACTTAAATCTTAGAGGTGAGTACACAAGATTATTCGATAAGAAGAAGGGGAAGGTCGCCTGCACGGCCATACAAGTGCTTCTCCCTGAGCTTGGCGTTAAGCTCAGGAGGATGTGACTGGAAAGCTTTATCTTTTATATATTAGTTTGTTTTATACAGTGTTACACTATTGGAGTTTTTCTCTTATTTTATAGGTATATTTCGTAGGCTTTTTTGGCCCCCTTATTGGGACGAGTGCTCTCTGGGTAAACTCAGCCGAGTTTAATATATGTATGTAGCGCTACATCTTTCCTTGTATTTTGTACTTTGTATATCTTAAAACAGCTTTCAAAAGCTGCAGATCTTTTGACTGCAGCATTTGCAAGCCCTCCCCTTCTTCCCCAACCCACACTTTCTAAGGCTGCCCAATTTCAAACTTTCCAATGCAGCTCATTAACCTCGTAACGACGCATGACAGAATAATACTGTTATTCTGGGCTGGCAGCTATTCTGTTGGAGACCTGCAGGGTTTGAACAGAAATGTAAAAAGCCCAGTTATATAGGTGTGTGTGTGTTCAGAATCAGGAAAATAAATACAAATACAATTTTTACTTACTTTACTATGTAAAAAAGTGTCAAAATACCGTTCAGTAAATAGCCTTTGAGGCAATTTTGCTATCTGTGATGGCTACAACACTAGCAAGACAAACTTACCAAATTCTTAAATTGTTTCACATTATTGTTTTGTGGCCTGGAACTACCAAAAATAAACTGTAATCCTAGACATATGATGTACTCTGTAAATCAGGACAAATAATTTTTTTTTTTTAAGGAACACAGACATGTATTCCTGACCCTATAGTGTGGAAAAACACTATTGGGCACTCCTTGCCATCCTTAAATATTGCAAAAAAGTACGGGATGTCTCGGCCTGGACTCCGCTGAGTTAACGCTTCAACTTATCAGTAGCTCCCCATTCACAAAGCCGCTTGAGAAACATGCATCAGCGCATTATGTACCATTTAACCCTAGAAATTGATTTCTCTAAATCAATGAAGATGTAATTGCTGCAACAAACTGTCAGTAAACAACCTCATGGAGTGCACGGACATTATGTCGTGAAAATAGCTGTTAAAAAGCTTTATAAAGACTTTTCTAAGGACCATGGTTAGTAACGTCTCTCATGTTAAAGTATAGTGGGATTTCAGAGGCTGTGTGTGAATTGATCATTTAAATGATTGGGGAGGGAGGAAAGATATATTTTTTTTTATTGATTTCTTTTTTTTTTAACAATCTGATTATTTCTCTGACTGTCCTTAAAGTGTAACCTTCTTGTCTTTGTGTTTTTTTTGTTTTTTTTTTGCTGTATTTGGATGCATTGTTCCTTTCTATGCTTGCATCACACATCATATAATGGAAGCAAACTGTTTTTAATTTGTGAGCTTATTTGTAGTTCCCAAATTTATTTAATTGTATAACTGGGAATGAAGATTTATAGAAGCATATCAAATGTGTTAGTTGGAAAGGAAGGAAGTAATGGAATGGTGGCAGATGCATGAACCTCTCTGTCAAAGGTTTGAATTGATATTGCCCCTGGGTTGCTCTGGTTTTAAAGGAACAGTCAATGCAATAAATCTGAATTTCATATATATTCTACACAAATTCTAGGGTACTACAAAGTGTGTCTGAGAGGTGCTGCATACTACTGGATATCTCACATTTTTCTGATTTTATAATTCGAAAGTGGCAGGCTTATATGCCATTGGCCTTGAAAGCGGGCTGCGGTGTTTGTTACTGAACCCAGAGTGTGCACATGCAAACCTGTTCTAATAACTGATTTGGTTGTTTGTTCTAAGTAACAACACTATTTTTGGCATTAAAATGCTGCAGGGAAATTAAAAAAACAAAAAGCGATGGAATTGAGATAGAGGTCATCGTTATTGAGAGAAATCAAACTTCCATAAAGCTCTGAGCCATTTCCTACTCATGTCTGCTGCTAAACAAGGTTGGAACTTACCCGTGACCCCACTGATTTATTGGGGGGGGGTGAGTGGGGCACACAAAAAGTCAGAAGACTGGCCACTTTGAAAGATCCCAGGATGTTGGAGATCATTTCCTACATTTGCTGCATACATGCAAGAAACAAAAATTGCTAGCTACATTATTAGCATGATATCCAGCGTGTCTATATATAGGTATCTGGCTTGAGGGTATCCTCTAGGCTATGCTATTTTAGCAGTGCACTGCAGAACTAAAGCTAGTCTGGTGAGGTCTTGTGGCTAAAATTGTGGATCATGACCTTATTTTACAATTGTGAAAGACTATATGTGTATGACAGTCCAGATTAATACTAGAGCATCTTGTGGGTATATTCAAGACATCTGTTAGGGTGTCTGGTGTTCGGCATCTGGGGAGTAGAGTCCTTTGCACAGTGTGTTTTCACCCAATCCCCTGATCGGGCGTTACTCTGCGGTCGTGTATAAGTCCCGTGAATTTTTCCCAGTTGTGGGTCGTTTGTGCGATGTTCCTCTGTTCGCAACAGTTGGGGGGGGCAGTGCAGCATCGTGGAGGTGAGGCAACCCACTGGCCCCGGTGCTGTGTGAGAGCTGGTACCCTGTTGCCATGAGCCTGGGAGCCAGTGAGTTCCAGGGTCTTCCCTGTCGGGGCGGTGCGGTGGGTCTTGTGGTCAGTTGCTTTCTGTCGTCGCTTCTGTCTTGTGGCCTTGTACCTGTGGGCTGTGGCCCTTGTTGCTCTCAGCCCGGGTGGGAATCTTGTGAGGATGGCTGAGGTGGGGGGAATGTTTTGTGCCCTGAAGTAGGTTCCCAGTCCTCCTCCTCTATGCACACATGGTCCCGTACAGTCGGGATAGGGGTAGTCAGAGCCGGTCCAATACGGGTCAATAGCTTGGTCCAGAATCTGTCGAAAATAGCATCAATAGAGTCTCTTACTGTGTTGCTGGGGTCTGGCAGATCATGCTGCTGCATTTGCGTGCCGCCTGAATCTGGGTCTAATGCGTCCGCCATTTTAAAGACCTCCGTGCCCGTGAGGTTTATGGTGTGGGGTGCTCCTTCTGGCGGGGACCGGGATATCCCGGGGCGGCGCCCGTCTTTCCCCTGCGCTGTCTCCGTTAGGCCTCTACTTGCTGCAGCAGTTCCCGGTCGTTGGATTTTGGTGTCTGCAGGCTTCCCCCATCCATCTAGCATCATTACGGGATGTTTCCAGCACTGCAGCCCGAGTAATCGTCGAGAGAGTAGCCCGTGCAGTAGGAACTCATGTGAGGCACGACTTGTCAGCTCGCTGGCTTGGCTCCGCCCCCCATTTTATTCTATTTCTCACAATGCAGACATGTAATAGATGGAATGGTAATCAACCAGTGATTAGGTTCTTTACCATAACTACTGATCAGTTGTTATTCTGTGTTATTTGTAAATCTAGAAAAAATAAATAAGACTGACTGTATATTGGTTTTGTTTATATAGGTAATGTGGACAGGCTTACCTTGTGAAAACTTCCATTTGCTAATTTGCTGTGCTATCTTGGAGTCTGAAAAGCAATATATGATGGAAAGGAATTATGGCTTCAATGAAATTCTCAAGGTATGTATTTCTAACTTCGCACAATAAAACCTAGTGAATTGTTATTGCTTTTTAAAAATGAAAAGGGCATGTATTTACTCTGTTATATCAAGACTTCTGGAAGATAGCAAGACCACTCCAATTCCATAATAATTACACTATATTTTTTAATTCAATTTGTCAATCACAGAAGGAAAAAAACGCAAGGATGGATAGTCTGAATTTATTTTGCATTGGTAATTTCACTCTCCTCGTTAACTATATATTTCTAAAAACATATTGCTTTTAGTGAAACTCTTGGATGTGGTTTTAGTCTTGTCAAAGGAATGAGTTATCGGAGCGTGACTTGGCTTTAGTCTATTGTTTTATAAATGAACTGACAACATTAACTAGAAAATGCATTTAAAATATAGATGCAATAAAAATTCTCACATTTGCAGTTCCTGCAGCAAACCCCCATTCTCTGCAGGGAGTCCTCACCAAATCAGGACGTTATCTTGGAGGCTCATGATGGGACGTTAATATGTTGTAGCTTTGTTAAGAACATCCCATATACATGGCTTTATGGGCTTTGCAAGGACTTCTGGTGGTTATAGTCTAGTCGCTAATTTTCTGGTGTAGAAAGCCAGCAATAAAACTACTGTTCCCAAAAATGTCACTACATCCATATTTAATTATCAGAATATTCCCTTTTGCAGATATTATCTTGTTGCTTGAGCTTTAACTTAACATAATTTGAGGGGAATAATCTATTATGCTCTTTTGTGAGAATATAGTTTGCACAGCATTTTGAATCCAGAAGTAAAGATTCCCCCACTTTCTAAATTCTAATCAAATTATTGTGCTGCAAAAGAGTGTTTTTAGTTCATGAATTTTAGATATTCATGTTGAATAAAAAGGACCAGGACCGATTATTAAATGTTTTTTAAATAATTCAGTTTTATTTTATTGTCCACGTATGAAAGATCCTTCCAATCAAGGGAATAAGTTAATACGGCACGGTCATGGCCGCATCCCTTTTTTATTTAACCCCCCTCCCGTATACACTACATCTTATTGCCCCCCTAGTTACCTCCAAATGCACCTAGGTGCCCCATTTTACCTTTTTTGTAAAAACCTTTTGTGACCGGACCTAGGTCATGGACGCCGCCATCTTGGTGTGG